CCCCTGCCATGGCTGGCCGGTCCCCCCGACGAGAGCTCATGGCCAGGGCTCACACACGTGCCATGGCTGGCCGGTCCCCCGGACGAGAGCCCACAGCCAGGGCTCACACACCTGCCATGGCTGGGCGGTCCCCCAGACGAGAGCCCCTCGGCCAGTGCTCAGTCCCTCACAGGCAGATGTGACATGGCCAGGGGACAGGGCTGCCCAGCCCCCATGGGGTGGCCCTCAGAATCCCAGTGTGCTCTCTTTCAAAGAACACAGCCCTCCTGTCCCTGCGTGTGGCCCCCACCTATAGATTGCCCTGTCCTCACACCCCACAGGGGGGCCTCAACCCCAGACATCAGTGCAGAACCTGGGGGGGGACCCTGGACACTTCTGGGTTCTGTGACAGGCATCAGGGTGGTTTGTGTGAGACCCAGGTAGGGGCTGCCAGGTGGCATGGTGGTTGAGGTGTTGGACTCCCACATGACCAATCACGGTTCAAGTCCCAGACCTGGCAGCTCGCTTTTACATTTTCCCTTTCTCTCTGTCTGTCTCTCTCTGATTGAAGTTAAAGAATAATGATAATAAATAAAAAAAAAAAAAAAAAAAAGCTCCAGGGAAACAGTGCCACTGTCCTGTCCCGGACCCTGACCAAATAGGAGGAGGAGCCAGCCCTGGCACGTGGGCACGCGGGGAGGGGGACCAGCCAGCAGCTGTCCTGATCTGGCGCCTCCCAGCCAAGATCTGCTCAGGCAGCCTCAGTGCAGCTGGCCGGCACGGCCCCAGCTCCCAGGAAATGCACTCGTCCTGGGGAGGCTGACCTCTCCTATACCAGTGGACCCAGGTGGGCACGCGTATCCGAGTGCTAATGCAGGCAGATGCCAAGTGGACGTGTGTGTCTATGTGCAGATGGACGGCGTGAAGGCGGGCACCCAGTGGGCATGCGTGTCCGTGTGCAGGTGGGGGACTGCCTGAGGGCGGGCACCCAGTGGGCATGCGTGTCTGTGTGCAGGTGGGGGGCGCCGTGAGGGCGGGTACCCAGTGGGCACGCGTGTCCGTGTCCGGGCGGCGCCCTCGGGGTGGATGGGTGTCCGTGTGCAGGTGGGGGGCGGCGTGAGGGCGGGTACCCAGTGGGCACGCGTGTCCGTGTGCAGGTGGGGGGGCGGCGCGCGGGCGGGCACCCAGTGGGCATGCGTGTCCATGTACAGGTGGAGGACGCCGTGAGGGCGGGTACCCAGTGGGCACGCGTGTCCGTGTACAGGTGGAGGGCCAGTGCCCGGTGGGCACACGTCCATGTACAGGTGGAGGACGGTGTGAGGGCGGGCGCCCAGTGGGCACATGTCCATGTGCAGATGCACACAGGTGTGAAGGTGGGTCTGCAGAGGCCCAGGACTCACCCAGAGCCTGACATGGAAGACACTCGGGAGACCGCTGTGGCCCCAAGCCCAGCAGGATGTGGGTGTACTAAGGCCTTACACGTGCAACAATGTGGGTGCACCACGCCAAGGTCACGTGAGCTATAGTCTGTGTGAGGATCCTGCCCTACCATGCCTGTCTGTGTGGGCTCAACTGTGTCCCTGAAAGGGTGCTGAGTCCCACCGCTGGCAGCCATGGGTGTGGCTGCCGGAAATGGGGTCTCGGCACACGCAGTCAAACTAGGGTGAGGTCACACGGGGGGGGAGGGTGAACCTAGTCCAAGCGACCAGTGTCCTTCCGAGACAAGGGGATGTGGGTGCGCCCTGACACCCAGGGAAGGTGCCCGTGTGAAGGCGGACATGGCTGGAGCCACCAGGGCTGCAGAGGCAGGAAGGACCACCCCCTGGAGCCTCAGGGGGTGAGGTCCCGCCATTCCCGGGTTTTGGACTTCCTGCCGCCAGGACTATGACAGAAATGTCTGGCTTAACTGCCCAAGTCTGTGGAGCTTGGTTACCACGTGGACACGAGGGCGGTCCCTGCCCACCCTGGTGCCCCCGCAGACGGTGCACACCATGCCCTGTGCTGCCGCGGAGCCCTCTGCTGCCAAGTGACCGGCACCGAGTTCCAGGGCAGAGAGCAGCGGGCGAGGCCCTTCCCCTGGGTGGGACTGGGGGCCAGGACAGCCTGCCCTCAGCTCTGCCATCTCAGGTCACGTGGGACCCCAGGAGGCATCGTCTGTGGGGCTCTGGAAGAGCCATAGCAAGACAGGCAGCCCTGAGGACAGAGCCACCGTCCCCTCGAGGGACGCCCAAACCCCAACCCCACCTCCTGCCACGGGCTGGCACCTTAGGGCCACAAGTGCCCGTGGACACGGAGCCCCAACAGCTCTGGCCCAGCCCAGACCCCTGGTGAGCCTGTGACCAGTTGCCAGCCCACTGTGGGTGCCCACCCCAGCCCCTGCCGGCCGCCCAACTGGGTCCAGGTGGCTTTTCTGCAGGAGGCCCGGCAGCTGTCCCCACAGGGCTCCCTAAGCCAGCCGGCCCAGTTCTGGTGACAACCTCTACTCCACCCGGCCTCCAACACTGCCCTGCCCCACCTCTGTCCCCTGCACAGCCCTCAGGACTGGGAGCCCCAGCTAGGCCATACGTGCCACTTCCCACTGCGGTGTGCTGCCGCCCGGCCAGCCTGGAAGGAGGCCTCACCCTCCAGGGAGGACCTGCGGTTTCCCAGGGCCCCGCACCGGCAGCCCCAGCCCCTCAGACCTGCTCCGCACGGCTGGCATCAGCCCTCCCACTCGGACACCTGCACCTAACTCACCCCTGCTCTGCATCTGTCCTGGCTGTCCCGCCCTCCCCCCTGGGGGGGCACTATAGGCCAGAGCTGTGTCTCACCGCACGTGGAACTGCATGTCAGGGCAGGCCTAATCCGACCCTGGCGCACAGGGGAGGAACAGGAGGTAAAACAATGATGCCGCGGAGCCCCGACCGCCAGCCGCGCGCAGGGCTGAGGGCTGAGGGACCGCGGAGGCTCCCCACCTGCGCCGGCGCCCGCGCGCCTCACCTGCGAAGTTCTTGGTGAAGACCAGGGTGACCAGCAGGATGGGGACGAGCGCGGTGCCGATGGTGACCACGCGGTCGAACGGCAGCTCCAGCTTGAGCTGCAGCAGCAGCGCGGCCAGCGCGCCCGCCTTGTC